AGAAGGGGGGATGAGGAGGGATTAGACAAAGGGCGTAAAGAGTAATTACAATTTGTAACAATATATATGCTAGTAATATTGATTTGATCAACATATATCAATGTTGAAACCCCAAAATATGTATAGTCAATTTTGATTCAATAAAAATTAAAATTTAAAAAAAATTGGGCTTTTGGACTCAGGGACGGGAGCCCCAATGGAGGTGCCTGTGAGAGCAATGGCACATGTGTCTTGAGGAGGCAGGAAGCAAAAAGCGGTGGCCAAAGCCCTGGCCTTGTGGCAGAGTCCAGATTCCCTCTGGCTGAGGTCTAAGTGGACCAAGGCAGGAAGCAGAGGATGACTAGCGCCTTCAATCACATTGGGAGGGGGTCAGCAGGGGCTTCAAGGCCAGCCGGCAACAGATCTCGCTCACTTCGCAGCTCAGGTCAGCAGCCCAGGGACCTGGGCTCAAGTGAGCTTGGAGGTGTGAGTGGGGTCCCTGAATGTCAGGGTGCTGAGGAGGAGTGTGCACAAGGAACGAGGAGGCTACATCCTGCTTTACCCTGGATTAAGCCACTGGGTGACGGGAGTTCCCAGGGGGTTTCCAGGACTCAGACTGGAATGAAGGATGCTGTGTACACAGCAAGGGACAGAATGAGGGATGGCTGGTCCCATGGAGTTAGCTGGGAACAAAAATTTTCCTGTCAAAACTGTCTCCAGAGAGAAGAGAGATTGGTGGGCACTTTTTGTGAACCTGAACACACACGGTCTCAAATGAAGTTACATTCAGACAAATCCAAAGAGACAGATAGAATTCATATTTATAAAAACCAAAGGGGGGAAAAGCTGAAAGGAAAAATAATGCCTTGCATGGAAACGTTAAATATTTAATTTTTTTTTTCCTTTTTGTCTTTTTTTGTGTGTCCGGCAACGGATCGCAACCCTCAGTGTCGCGCCCGTACCGGACCGGGACTGGCAGAGGGATCGCAACCCTCGGTGTTGCGCCCGCACCTCACTCAGCCAGTGAGCGGGAACCGGTCTGCATGTGGGATCCGGACCCTCGGCGGGAGCGCCACCGCGCTCCCAAGCGGAGCACTGTAGCAGTGCGCCACTGGGCNAGACCCTCGGCGGGAGCGCCACCGTGCTCCCAAGCGGAGCACTGTAGCAGTGTGCCACTGGGCCGGCCCTAAATATTTAATTTTATATGGTGGTTATCACTGGGGTGAGAAGGAGACGAGAGGTTAGGGAGCGGGGGCTTTTATTTTATTCGTTGTGTTTAGTTCTTAACATTTTGGAAATAAACATGGCAAACTTTTAAGATAACAGTTTAGTAGATGTTTGGGCCACAGAGACTTAGAGATTTATTATATATACATTTTATAGAGAGCCTATCATAATCTACACTTTCCAGTGTGTTTGAGGGATCGCATTTAAAAAGAAAAGATCAAAGGACAGTAACTCCAGGAAATCTAATGGGGTGGGAGTCAGCCCGTCTTGGTGGGGGGCAGGGTGGGTGGCCGGCCAAGCTTCTGGGGTCTGGTGGAGGTGGGGTGGACAGGCAGACCCAGGCTCCTGAAGCTGGCAGGGGGCATGAAAGAAGGAGCCAAGGAGAAAGAGTAAGGTACTGTCAGACTCAAGGGCTTGGCCCAGATGTTCCCGGAAGTGCATCGTGGGAGAGAGCGGTGATGGTGTGCAGAGGGCGTGTGCCTTGGGAGCCCCACAGACGTGGCAGCTCCGGGTAGGGGCCAAGCCAGGGCAGCCAACTCTCATTTACCTGGCTAGCTGCCGGTCCCAAGAGAGCCCTGCACCAGTCCCGGACGATGTACCAGGTAGACCCTTTGCTCACCCCTTCCTGCCAGGCTGGCCTGATTCCCTGCAGGGCCCCATGCCTTTCATCAGCCTGAGCTTCCCTTTTCCCCCTGTGCATCCAGAGCTGCTTCCCCAGCCCCTGCCCAAGGAGCTCTGTGGCCTGGGTCCCAGAGAGCCTCAGACTTGGAAAGGGCAGTGGATGGGTTGGTATTGAGTTTTTCACAAGCAAAGGGACATGTGTGGGAAATGTGATGGGGTAGATGGTGTGACTGAGGGACTAAAGGAAATGGGTTTGTCCTAGGCAGCCTTTCCTGAATTCCAATTGCCTACCCAGGGGGAGGGCCAGGCTGAGGGCTGTGGGTTAGAGGGAGGGGGTCCACCCCATAGGATCTGCCAGGATGGTCCATTTGGGAAGGGGGAGGCTAGAGAGAAAACACTTCTTGATCCTGTGATGGCCTCACCAACCCAGCTTTTCATAGAAAAACCCTGAAACCCTGACAGAAATAGACTGGCACAGGGTATCCTCAATCCAGGAATCCACACCGGGTACCCCTTCCACTCCAGGTCTCCTGAACCTGATCTTGAGACCTGGGTGGGGGCCATAGCTATGGGATGAGGCATCCCCCTGCCTCACTCCAAGCTTCTGGGGTTCACATCTCCTCCTCCTCTCTCCCTCCCCCCAGGGTACCACTTTTCTGGCTTCATGTGAGTTGGGAGTAAGGGGAGCCTGAGACGCTGGACAATGACTCCCTTTTTCTAGGACTTTAAGAAACAGGTGCTCACTGCCCCCTTACTGCCTAGGACATGTGACAGCAGCCCATAGTGTGCTGAGATTCCTGACCCAGGACACAGGATCTATTTAGGAATTTTGCTGGAGACCTGAGAAGAGGGGGAAGTGGGAGGGGTCTTGGGCCAAACACTATATGCCAGACTGTAATGAAGTCCCTCTCTTTGTTTCTTTCTGAACGATTTCATCTCCTTATCTCTCTGGGTTTTTTTCCTCTGTCTCTGCCTCTATTTCTATCTGTCTTTATCTCTCTCTTTTTCTTTTACTTTTCTACTTTCTATCCTTCTCTCTCTATATATCTCCCTTTATCTTTTTGTTTTATCCTCTGTTGCTATGTGGGTGTTTACATCTATGTTTCTCTGTCACTCTCTATTCTCTCTTTCTGTCCCCCATGTCTTTACTCTGTCTCTTTATCTCTATCTCTCTCTGTCTCTGTTCCTCTCTGTCTCTCCCTGAGGCTCTCTGTCTCTCTCTCTCAGTTTCCTTCAGATGTCTGTCTGTCTCTATTTTGGTCTTTTTCTGTGTGTACACACCTATGTCACCCTCTTTCTCTGCCACTCCCCTCCCAGGCTGGCCACAACCCCTGGCCTTTTCCAGCTGTGAATGGCTCATCAGGGCAGGAGCCCCAGAGGCAGCTCCTGGAGGTGCTGGGTGGTACCTGGGAACCACCACGAGGGGACGGACTGCCCCATCTCGCCATCATCATTGCTGTCTTTGTCCTGCTGGCATTCTGTATTGTAGTGGCAGTCCACTTTGGGCCAAGACTGCACCAGGGCCATGCCACTCTCCCCACAGAGCCACCAGCCCCAAAACCAGAGGATGGAATCTACCTCATCCACTGGCAGGTGTTGGGCCCACAGGACAGTCATGAAGAAGCCCAGCAAGGATCTCTTGTCCCTGGCTCCTGCCCTGCATCAGATGGGCCTGGACCCAGCATTGATGAAGTCACATATCTGTAGGAGAGAGACTTTGGAAAGTTAGCCTGACCTGGCTCAGAATAAGAAACTGGACAGAGAATTAGGGCAAAAACAAATTGGAGCCTGGGCATCAGAGCTTCAGAAGGGCACATTACCCACAGCTTCAGCTGCCCTCCCAGAATATTTATAGAGAAAGCACTGTTGGGGATGGGAGAAATAAACGAAGCCTGAGGGCCCTGCCCAGAAACATGCTGCTATGGGCATTCCCAGGGCCCAAGGCCACTCGTACAAAGTTAATCCCTCCTCTTCAGAGACCACCTGACCCTTGAACCTCCTTCTTTGAGTCCCTGAACCCTCCTTGCTCCCCTAATCGCCTTTCCTTTTGGTGTAAAGTGAATCCAGCTTGGAAGATTCTACCACCCTCTCCACCTGCAAGGAGGAATGTCAGAAGCCCCACACAGAGGCCCTGCCCACGGCCCCCAGATCCTATGAAGACCAGCCAGGGAGAACCAAGGCAAAGAACCCAGGGGTCTTCTTTCAGGGAAGGAAGGAACATCTGTTGCCCTTCACCGATTGGGAGCCAATCCTTTAGCTCTCAGGACCCAGATCTCGTTGACAATCTCTAAAGCCCTTGAAAGCCCCACGTACCATTTATAGTTCGAAGATTGGCTTTGAATGACCTCCACTGACTCTGTCTTGCCTTCCCAGGATGTGATAGGGGAGTTTGGGGCCTCTCATTCTCTTCCACTTTCTGTGTGCATGGGCCTGTTGGAACAAACCTAGATTGACCACAGTACGTGTCCCACATCCAGAACTTTCCAGCTGGTGGGAAACAGGAAAGGAAAAGGAACTCCATGGAACTTCTTTGGGGAAGGAAGGAGTGGGCCGGGGACCCCTCCCCACAGGTGAAGGGGCTTGGGGATAGTCATCAGGGGGTCAGGAGGACTCAGTCGGGGGCCCAGAAGACCAAGCTGGGCTTCCCAGAGGCTCTCTGGAAAGGCACCCCTTTCCCTGGCACCTGTGAACCTCACTCGTGTGCAGTCAAAAACACGCAGACAGACATTTATGGAGGGACCTCAGGTGCTTCACCCTGAGCAACTCCTGAGGACAAGAAGTCAACCATGGGGCCTGGCCTCAGGAGACCCCAGAGTAGTCAGGGAGGCCAGGAAATAGCAGAGGAGAGAGAGGAACAGAGATGGGGCCTGTAGCATGTGCAGAGGACAGGCTTGCCTCCTTTGGGGCTGGGGAGAGGCAACTATAACGTTAATAGCTGCTCCTTCTTGTGGGTCATCTATGTGCTGGACACTGGGCTTATCAGTGGACCTGCAGATATTTTACCACTCACTCCTCACAACAACCTTGGGAGGAAGGGCTACTGTTATCCCCATTTTACACTTGGTTTATCAGCCAAGTGGAAACTGGCTTATCAGGACACCCAGGTGGACACAGGTACTAAGTGGTAGAGTCAGGATTTGAACCTGGGGCCATCAGACTCCACAGCCTGAGCATCACGCTGGGGTCTGGATGAGTGGAGGAAGGTCATGAGCGTCAGAGAAGTGTCCCCACTTAGAATCCAGCTTAACGGTCTGCAAGGGGGTAGCATACTCCAGGACACAGGTGCCTGCCTGGAGGAGGTGAGAGGAAGACCAGACTAAGATCCAGGGCCAGGCAGACAGACTCTGGACCATGGATTGGGGCCCTAGACCCTCAGTCTGCAGACATGGAATCCTGGGAGATGGCCACTCTGATGGGGTCTATGCTGTCTGGGCTGCCTTTGCCTCTGACATCTCACTACAGAGCTGGCCTAAATTTGCCCTTCACAGATTCTTCTCCCAAAATCCCAGGGCAACAACCACAGAGGTAGGCTGTCAACTGCTCCAGCTGGAAATTGAGGCTGGGGGCTGCACTCCAGGGTTCAACTCTGGGCTGAGTTTCCCCTACACCCACATGAAGTCCTTCAGATGTTCTCATAGCCTTTGTCTAGGGAAGCTTTAAGTTACAGAGCAGGGATACTCAAGTTGAAATCATCTACTTTTTCACTGTCCCTGAGCCTCAGTTTCTGCCTCTGTAAAGGAGAGATCATCACAGTCCCTAACCCACAGAGTAATGGTCAGATTTCAATGAGATGGTCAGACAAAGCACTTAGAATAGCATCTAGCATGCAGTAAGTGCTCATAAATGTTACTTGTTATCATTTAGAGACCTGGGACCAACTGGGGAAACTGAGGCTCACAGAAGGGCAGTGAATTTTCATCAGTGCCTGCCAGGGCCCAGGTTTCTCACCGGCTGCCCGTTCTCCAGAAGCTCATAGATGCTGTTGGTGTAAACCCGACCCTTGATGCCAGCACGGTCAGTGCTCTGCTGAGGCAGCACATCCAGGAAGCGAATGTTGGGGTCAGCCACACTCAGGTCGTCAGGCACCCCACAGTCCAATGGTAAGAGGATGTAGAGCCGCCGGCTCCCTGCGCCCCGTAGCATGTTGTGGAACTGATTGTAAGTTCGGATCCGGGCCTGCAGTCCTGGGTAGGGAAGCCCAAGAAATCATTCCCACTAACCCTGTCTCCCAACCTGATCCAGGACTGAAACCTAGGTCATTGGCCCCCTCAGTAGGTAGGGAGTCAAGGTTCCAGTATACTCTCATTGAAATAGAGCTCCCTACACCCTCATAACGTATGCTATCTGCTTCTGTAGAATTGCTTGCTCAACCTAAGTAATTCCATTTTGCCTCGTCTGACCTGCAGAGTACCCCCCCCCTTTTGCATGAGAAACCATTGACCTTCTCATAGAAACAAAAAACAATTGCATAAAAACAGGAGCCATACACAGTAAATTATTACATGGGAACAGGAACCATACACAATGAAACTTGTATGCTTGATTGCTCGAACGGCTCATTCTCGGCCTCTGTGACCTAGCTCCATAGCTTGCCTTTTGCACCTGGACAAACCCCTGTGCCAACGGGATGTAGTTTTTGTCTTTAAAAATCCCACAAGACCAAAGACTGATGCCGCTCTTCCTTGGTTGCTCCTTGGGAGACGGATGCTGGCCAGCTGGAGGGAATAAACTGCCCTTTTCTGCACGAGTGGTGTGTAAGTGCATTTCTTGTGGGAGGGTGCCTCACAACATTTTGGAGGCCCCAGAGAGATTCTTTCTCTCATGAGTGTATCCCTCCCTGCACTTACCTCCTAGGAGAAGACAGAGAAGCTGTTCCTCTTCTCCTTGGAGGCAGACGGGGCACTTTACTCTCTCCCCAGGTAGGTGAGATCTCAGTAAGGGATGGTGCACCAATGGTTGGCCTTAGTGGGAGGCTGGATGCAGCATTAACTCCCCTAGTCCTTGGGCTCCCAAGATGTCACTGGGCCCATTGGTAGTTTGGATTTGGGTTTGGGACTTGCAAGTCAATAGGAATTGTGTTTCCGTGTTTCTTGTTTGTCTTTATCGTTGTGATTGTTAATTTTGGACATGGCCACTTGTCTGTCTTTTGTGTGTTGCCAGTTGTGTGTTTTTGTGTGTCATTAACTGTGGTCTTGTATAACAACTAGGACAAAATTCCTCCAAAGAGGTCTATGGGACAACCCCCTTATATACAGGTTTGGATTGATATAATCTCTCACAAGCCATCATGACTAAAAAGGTGCCTTAAAAAAAAGTCCCAAGGTGAATAGAAATAGAACACCATCTGTGCTTTTAACTAAGCCTTCTCTTCCAGCTTCTCTGAAGAAGAGCGCCTCCCTCACAGCAGCTCCCATACTCTCTGACGCCTCTGAAGACCCAAGGTGGCTTTAAAAATTGAAAATAAACTAAGAGTATTTCCTTTAATAATTTCTTCTCCCTTCACTGGAGAAGATTTAAAAATTTGGGGGAGGTTGATGATAAATTAAACAGCAGTAGTTCACAACAGCAATGATTTAATCTCTGAATATACTGTAACCAAAGAAAAGAATTTGAAAAACTGTTGTCGGACTGCTAGATAGTCCCAGAATGTCAACCTCATTTTCGATTTATTGGCTTTTATTACTTTGTGTCATGCTGACCTTATTGTTAAACACAGGTTTGTTTGCATTCTTTCCACTCATGGAGAAAATGGGAAAAACATTACTTTTAAGTTGGTCAAAAGCATTAACGGACAAAACACCTCAGAAAAATGTGAATTAAGCAGCTAAGAAAACATACTCTGTTCATTACTTTAAAAAATATATACAGCCTTATTAACTCCACAGTGTAACAGTTGTCAGAGTCAACGTTTAGGTAGATATAAATAAAACATTTAAATGGTAGCGTAAACAGTTTTCAGCGCACACACATAGCTTTTTCCTAAAGAATTGCTCTGGCAACTTTGTTAAAAACCAATTGACCAGAACTACGGGCGTATTTCTGGACTTTCTTTGCCTGTTTCCCATACTCAGAGTGGCACTGCCTCTCCCTGCCATTCCTCCAACCCCCCTCTCACTCCAACAGGCTCCCTTGCCTCCCAGAACTCCTCAAGACCAGGCTCCCTTCATGGTTTACAACTGGAAAAATCAAAATCCTTCTTTCTCAGAAAAACCTCAGGGCCTCATCTCCCTCCTGGAGACTGTTTTCTTTACCTGCCAGCCTACATGGGATGATTGTCAGCAGGTCCTGCAGACTCTCTTCAGGTCAGAAGAATGCAAGTGGATCCAGAGGGAGGCCCTGAAAACTGTTACCGGTCACGATGGCTGACCCTCTGATGACCCCATTTGCCTCGAATGCATGTTCCCCTCTAACAGACAAGGGTGGGACCCAAACACGGACCAAGGTAAGAGGGCTCTTGACCTGTATCACCAGACTCTCCTCAGGGGACTCTGCACAGCAGCCTGGAAGCCCACTAACCTATCAAAAGTAAATGCATCTATTCAGGGACCAAACGAAACCCCCACCACTTTCCTGGAGCGCCTTATGGAGGCTTACAGGACCTACACTCCTTTGGACCCTGAGACCCCAGAAAACTAGCGGGCAATAAAATTGCCTTTGTTACCCAGTCAGCCCCAGACATTAGGAGGAAGCTTCAAAGACAGGAAGGATTTAAAGGAAAATTATCATCTGAGCTGGTTGAAATTGCCCAGAGGGTCTTTAATAATAGAAATAGTCCAGAAGAGAAACAAACCAAAAAGCTAGATTATAAGGATGTCTTATTCAGCCTCCCACTGGCCAAAGTAAGACAATGTCTCTTTGCCGTTGAATGGACTGACCCTGGGGGAGGATACTCTGGACAATTAACTTGAACTCAACTCCCCCAAGGATTTAAAAATTCCCCAACCTTATTTGATGAAGCCCTTCACCCTGTTTGTTACCGAGATGTGAGGCATTGCCCAGGGGGTGCTCACCCAAGCCCTGGGACCATGGAAGAGGCCTATCACCTACTTCTCCAAGAGGTTGAACAGTGTAGCCACAGGATGGCCAACCTGTCTCCGAGCCATAACGGCAACTGCTTTACTGGTAAAAGAAGCCAACAAGACATATGCTTAGTGGCCCCCCACTCTGTACAGACTCTCTTACAAAGTGCACCTGAACATTGGCTCATCAACTCCTGCTTCACCCAGTATCAGGCTTTACTTCTAGATCAGTCCCTAAAAACCATGTCTCTAAATCCGGCTACACTTCTCCCGGATGACAACCCAACTGAGCCTGTCCACGACTGCCTTGAAACAATTGAGACTCTCTAAGGCCTCCGGCTGGACCTGACTGATGTGCCCTGGACAGAGCCTAATGAAATGCTGTTCACTGATGGAAGCAGTTTCATCTCCAATAGAATCAGGTATGCTGGGACAGCCATGGTAACTTTAGATTGGGTCACTTAGGCTCAAGCCTTAAGCCAAAGAACATCTGCTCAAAAGGCTGAACTCCTAGCCCTAACACAGGCTTTAAAGCATGGAAAAGATAAAACTGTTAACATATATACTGACAACAGATAGGCTTTTGCCAATGCCCATGTTCACAGGGCCTTATACAAACAGAGAGGACTATTAACATCAGAAAATAAATAAATAGGGCCGGCCCGGTGGCGCACTGCTATAGTGCCCCGCTTGGGAGTGTGGTGACGCTCCCGCCGAGGGTTCGGATCCCACATACAGACCGGTTCCCGC